TGTTACCACTTAAATATTTATTTTCATTCATCACTAACATTTTGATGGCTACATGCACATCATGGGGAAGGATTCATTTCCATGGCACAACAACACAAATGCCTTTCTCAATCTCAGCCACCCTCCGTATTTTATACCAGTGTTGCCTGATGGAAGAACTGTTTCTGGATTTGGGAGAGAAAACACGATGGCTTTTTCATCCATCTTGACAGTGCAAATCAAGAGTATTGTCAGGCAAAGCGATAAGCATTTATTAAAAGTGATCATGTCCTTATATTAGGTAATAAATGATACATACATTTGGTATATGTGATGCATCAAAAAGCAACAAATCAAACTATAAGATACATTAATTAGATATGAGAAGTAAACAATAGAAAACATTGATCCTAGATAAAATTCCACAACTGGGAAAATTATGGGTTACATCAACCTCTTTGCAGGTCAAATTGGTATCTTCCTTAATACTTGCAGGTGTATTCAAGGTCTTCCAGAATACAATCCCTATTGTTCAGTTTCTGAAGAGGCTAGTGTTGGCTAGTAACAAAATAGTATTGGCTAAATAAACCCCACCATGGTTTCTTGAACTTTAAAGGAGACATGCTGAACATGCTAATATCATCTTTATGAAAAAGCAAATAAGGAAGCTTAAAAAGACTAAGAGAGATGAACTGGGCCAAAGTAGAGCTTGACCTCATGATATTCTGCTTTCTATCCTAGTACTTTAACCACAAGACCAAATTGGCTATGGTTTTTTTAAATTGCACAGATTATGAATATGTGCTAGCTTTCTAAATGGCTTTTTTAAACAATAGGCTATAATCACTGAATATATAGCACACTGCCCATCGTATTCCTGAAAGCTGATCAGGTGAACTCACAAAACATGCTATTATCTTATATAACATCTATATTTTATTCAAACAAATCATTTGGCCCAGAAACCCTGTGGATTCCCCTTCATATCCCCTTGATTGTGTGTGTGTGTGCGCGTGTGTGTGTAACTACAAGGAAATAGTTAAAAGAAAAAAAAAAGTCAGCCACAATTGCCCAGAACCACAAGTGGAAATCTATCTCTGCATTGCAGTGGAAAAAAATGTCTGAGGTTCTGGAGATAATATAAAAGGAGATGCTATTGCACTCATGGACAGAGTTTGACCTACTAATATCAGTGGTAGAGCATCAAGCAAGTTGAGATAATAACAACACAAAGGGTAGTTATGACACCCAAAAGATTGCCCTTATTGGTGAGTGCACTGTTTATTGCTGTTAAAAACTATTCTTTTGCCTCTGTATTTTTATCTTCAGATATCTAACATTTGATTTACATACTTGTTCTGTCTTTGTAATTTCTTTAATAATTTTTCATGCTCACATTATAGTTATTATAATATTTTCTCATAAATGAAAATCCTCCAATCTATTTGATATCAAAAATGAAAACCATTGGTTATTGAAAAAAGGTTTTTTTTTCCTATATAACTATACTTATCCCAGACATTTTTGATAATATGAAAGATGAGCTGTACTTGATTCTCTTTTTGTCGCTTAATCATTTGATTTGTATCCCACTTTTCATTCAGGAGTTCAGATTGGTATCTGTAGTGGTCCCACTACATAGATAGTAGTCCTGCTTCCATAGATATTGGTGGATTGCAATCTGAGTTTCCACACTCTTAATTGTACACTTTAACCACAATACCACACTGGTGTCTTAAACAATTCTTAATACAATCCAGCATTTCAGTTAATCCTGAGCTGTGGTGCCCCTCAATTTGCAAATTAATTACTGCTTCCTACCAACTATTTTAATGCTTAAATTCTAAACTTCAATATTAAAATAACGTAAGCGACTAAGGATGGACATTTTTTGCACAAGAGATGACATTTTACTCTTACCTATATCTGATACATCCATGGATTATTTTACAGGTTGTTCTGCTGGTATTGGTACTTGCAGTGGGGAATTTAGCCCATGGAGGAAACACTAATAAAACCAATAAGAAACAGAGAGGAAGAATGACTGACAACTGCCCAACTCAGCCAGTAATCCAAGAAGATACCGAATTCCCAGAGACAGTGAAGGTGCACATACCTCTTGCTCAGGCAGAATCAATGAACAGGATGCCTCATGATGTTAAAAACAGATCTCTCTCTCCATGGGATTACAGGTACTATTCACCCTTTTACTGTTAAACTATATTAGCTACAATACATTATGACAGTGAGAATCCCTCAATGCTTTTTGAGTACTTCAAAAATTCTGGGGTATGAGAACTTCTAAAGGTTGCAAGATCTTACGAGGCAAATGTAAAAGCTATACACATTTTCTGAAAAAAAATATACTGGAAAATTCATAATTGAATAGGCAAATGTCACTTGAATTGTTCATCAATTTGTTATATCCTTAGTGATCACACCTATTACTCTGCAACAAAATAATATGGCTTTGTGAATATGATTTTTAGTTAGTTGGCCAGTTCCAGACTTTGCACTTACATTCATTACTATAAAAGTAATCTAGGAGAATTTTCTTTATGTTTCCTTTCTTAAATCTACTATGTGAGATGAGAATGGCCTTTCTTCAGGATAGGGCCACATAGGGAATTGACTCATTGATATATTCTAGCTGACAGTAGCGATAACACTAAGCCACAAATTCAAGTGCTTTCTTATAAGACAAAATCTGTCTTTCTCATCAACAAAGGGATGCTATAAATATCAGATATGATTTCTGAGTAAAAAGCAATGTAGTAGTAATTGTTAAGGAGACCCAACAGCCTTTTCTGTTTTTTTTTTTTTTTGGTTCAGGACCATAACCAAAATATAATTCTATGGAGGAGAGAACTAGGAAATTCTGAGAAACATTCACCATGAATGTTTATGTTCATATTTTAGGATATGATTAAGGAAATCTGGGTGACATGATTCTGTCTCCGAGGAGACAAAATAAGATTCCTCTTTAGTCTATTTATTTTTTCCTAATGGGTGCTGATTAACATTCAGGGTTCCAAATTCTTCATGAATTTTGATGAAGAAACGGTTTTGCTGTCATGTGAACCAAATCTTTCTCTGTCTTTTGTTGTGTTAACTTACAGTGTTAAGGAAGATCCTAACAGATTTCCACACATAATTTCTGAAGCCAGCTGCCGTTATACCGTTTGCCTGGATTCCACGGGGAAGAATCTAAACTATGCTATGAACTCTGTTCCTATTCAGCAGGAGATCTTGGTTCTGAAACGCAAACATATTGGCTGCAAGCAAAGCTATTGGTTGGAGAAACAGGTGATCACTGTTGGATGCACCTGTGCCTTTCCTACTTCAAATGCTTATCAGAAAAAGGTTTTCTAATATAGTTGAAAAATGGCCGAAGGTGGCACTTTATTGGCTGAAGTAATCAGGGTGATACAACATTTGCTTGGCTAATTGGAAAGAAATTGGTAACTCTGAATGTCACAGAAAGTAGCCTCCTTTAGAATTAGAGATTATTTTATTTAGAGCTCTTATAGTGTTTCAAAATGTATTTAAATGTTCTGGGAATGTACCAAATGGTCATTTTCTTTAATTGGGGGGGAGGGAGGGGAGTTCAGATGTCCACCATCCAGCCACTAAGACAGAAAAAAAAAATCTCCATTGAAGCCCTTCTTCTCTTTGGCTTCAAAAAGAATGTATTGCTTTATACTAATTTTCTATGATTCATAGCCTGTTTTTATTTGTCTTGTTGGTCTTCGTGGATGTCCTGAAAATTGCAATGCATATCATATTTAAAACTCGAGGAGGAGCAAAGAAGAAACATGCTTTTGTCTCTATTTATAAAATGTATTTATAATACCATATTTATGCATTTGCAGAAACATTGTTGGATAAAATTTTATAGTTTATCAGTATTTATTCAGTAATTTATGTAGTAAATAAAAAGATTGATATATTTAATTGTCCACATAGTCATTGTTTCCCCAAATATCCATTTACTTTCCTTTGACACAATCGTCATTGTGACACAACTATTTGGTTTTTAGAAATGATGCTCTGAGTCCATGGGATAGAACACTAAACCAGAGCAGACACATGTCTTAATATAGATAACAATGTGACTTACCTACCCTCTATGATCTTTTTGAAGGGAAAAAACAAAGAGCTACTGAAGTGTAGCATGGAATAGTTGGAAAGCAGAGCTAAGGCTCAAAGATGGCTTGAAGGTTCTAGTAAACTCTGTCCTGGGAGCAAAAGTTGATGGCCTTGATAACGTTAGTCTTCTGGTCAAACAAAGTAATGGGTTCAAGTGCCATGCTGGTTCAGTTTCCTAAGGATCCTGTATCTTACCCTGGTCTTCCTAAGGGACACAGTTAATAGTATCTGACCCTGTTTCAGGATAAATAAGTGTCTGCTTAAGCATCAGGATCTCATTTTGGATCTGACTCTGTCTGCAAGGTCTTTTCAGTCCCCAATCTAGTGCATCTCCAATCTCTGTCTGCTTTTCTGTCATTTGGCAAAAAATGACAGAATTCTTTATTGGCCAAGTGTGATTGGACACACAAGGAATTTGCTCTCGGTGTACATAAAAAGAACAGGATACATTCATCAAAAATCATAAGGTACAACACTTAATGATAGTCATAGGGTACAAATAAGCAATCAAATCATACTAGGAAACAATCAATATAAATCGTAAGGATACAAGCAACAAAGTTACTGTCATACAGTCATAAGTGGGAGGAGATGCATGATAGGAACGATGAGAATAATGCAGACTTAGTGAATAGTTTGACAGTATTGAGGGAATTATTTGTTTAGCAGAGTAATGTGTTTGGGAAAAAGCTGTTCTTGTGTCTAGTGGTTCTGGTGTGCAATTCTCTATAGCGTCGTTTTGAGGGTAGGAGTTGAAACAGTTTATATCCAGGATGTGAGGGGTCTGTAAATATTTTCACAGCCCTCTTTTTGACTCATGCAGTATACAGGTCCTCAGTGGAAGGCAGGTTGGTAGTAATTGTTTTTTGCAGTTTTCTGCAGTTCTATTGGCGAGACTATTGTTTTCACTAAATCTGCATATACTGTGCAGAAATTCTGGGTCTGATATAATAAAATAGAAAAACAAAGAAAGCTTTAGCAATACTTTTTCCATGACTATCCAATGAAAAGAGGCTTCTGGAATAACCTCACTTTGTATTCCTTTCTTCATACTTGTTTCTATGCTTTGGAATGAAGGTACTATTTTGGAGTATTTCTGACCTTCTCAATAGGCTGCTTCAGTCCTGTGAGGCAATGACAAATGAGCCTAGTGGCCCTGATATGTGGGGAATCATACAGGTCAAGCCTCTCTGCCTTATTTTATTTTATTTTATTTTATTTTATTTTATTTTATTTTATTTTATTTTATTTTATTTTATTTTATTTTATTTTATTTTTTATTCTTTCTTTCTTTCTTTCTTTCTTTCTTTCTTTCTTTCTTTCTTTCTTTCTTTCTTCATTTATAAATTTAATTCGCAGCCCATCTTACCATAGGTTCGACAGCTTATAGTTATATATACTGTTAAAATATAAAAAGTTAAAATCAGACATTAAAACCAAGGACACATAAGGACGGAGTGGGGGGTGGAGGATGGGAATCTGTTATTACTCAATCAATCACCTCCACTGTGTTGTTCCCCCACTCGGGCTTCAAGCTGACTGGCAGAGCCACATTTTTAGGCCCTTATGAAAAGATATGAGGGTTGGGGCCAACCCCACATTGGGAGACAAGATGTTCCAGAGGGCAGGAGTAACAGCAGAGAATGCCCTCCTCCTAGGTTCCATCAGCCAGAATAATTGGACTGATGGGACCTGCAGCATGCCTTTTCTGCCACAGAAGTGGGAGGGGCCAATCCCAGTGGGTTGAGATGGTTCCTCAAGTAACCTGGATCCATGCCATGAAGGACTTTAAAGGTGATCATCAACACCTTGAATTGTACCGGGAAGCAGACTTGTAACCAATGCAGCTCATGGAGGGGACATTCTTAGGGCTCTGAAAACTACTCATGTTGCTGCACTCTACACCAGCAATAGCTTCCAAATGTTCTTCAAGGGTAGCCCCATGTAGAGTGCATTACAATAGTCCAGCCATGAGATGACAAGGGACTGAATGGTGGAGCTCAGGGAATTCTGATCCAGGAAAAGCCACAACTGGCACACAACACTAAGTTGTGCAAAGGCTGCGCTAGCTGCAACTGCCACCTGTTTCTCGAACAGGAGTTGTGAGCCCAGGATAACCGGGTCTTCCTGGGGCAGTGCCCCATCCAGAGTCAAAGATGACAAAGTCCTGCGTCCTGGAGCCCAGCATACCCAAAGCCATTTGGTCTTACCAGGATTCAATTGAAGTCTCCCATCCAGGCCCCTACAGCCTCCAGGCACTGCAAGAGGGCAGCCACAGCATCACTTCGGTTACTAAGAGTGGAAATATAGAGTTGGGTATCATCAGCATACAATATATACTTCATACAGTGCTGATGGATGATCTTACCCAGCGTTTTCATATAGATGTTGAAAAGGACTGGAGAAAGTACGGAGCCCTGCAGTATACCACAGAATAGCAGCTGAGGGCTGGACCTCTCACTCCCTATCAATACTGATTGGGACCTGCCACAGAGAAAGCTCTCTGTGTGTGTTCTGTATGTGTGTGTGTGTGAAATTAATCCTAGCAAAGTGCCCTGTGTTGCCAAAAGGAAAACTGGAGGTGGGAAATAAAGTTTCATTCCAATGGGAAATTATCAGTGGTGAAATTTGAACCGGTTTGTTATCAGTTTGCTGGCCGCGCATGCGCAGTGTGCACCAAACGCATGCTGTGCACGCGCATGTGCAGTACACGCCAAAAGGAGGCTTGGGAAGGTAAGTAGAACAGTGAGGGGGAAAATCAGCTGTGCAGTAGGATTTAGCTTCACTAGAAAGAAGGATTTCCTGCTTTCTAGCAAAGCTAAACTGCGCAGCACAGCTGATTGTCGGAAATACTGGTTCAGAGGAACTGGCAGCTTTTTTTAACTACCAGTTTGATCGAACTGGAGTGAACCAGTAGCATTTCCTGCTACTTATGCTACCCCTGCAAATTATGCTGAGAAGTAAGGCAGGAGATGGAGTACAAGAAAGACCTAGTACTGCCTATCTCATAAGTAAGCTATACAAATTCAGATGAGCGTCTCTGCCACCATAACACCTGCTCCCCAAAGTCACCAGAAATTGACCATTTTATCTTTACCTTTTATCTGTTTGGCAACAATAAGGACATTGCACTAGTATCTTATGGCTTTTGCATAGCCCTAACTATCCACATGAATCTTTCTTTCTTGTCTCATTATTTTGGGATATATTTATTTTGTGTTATTTGTCTAAAACATCATTTTGATATTCTTTGGATTAAATCTTCCAGTTTGCACTGGGATTACAGATATGTGGTAGCCCCCCCCCAAAAAAACAGCTTTGCATTTGATCTGTTTCTTGGTATCTTATCATGTTTTCATTCTATTGATTTTGTTGAATGAAGACTCATTTCATTTGACTGATGTAAGTGAAAAACCGCAGACAGTCCTTGAGTTCCTTCCAAGAATATCTCCTGATCTAAGTGAACACTAACCGAGAGCTTCAGACTGTGGTGCCCTGTGGCTTTATGTGTTTTGTTTTATCAACTAATACTTGAAATAAGGACCAACTTGATCATCTACCTCTCCTTCACGTCTGCTCAAGCACTGAGGTTTAAATGCTTAGTCAGCCCAGTCTACATTTCACATCAATGAAAACCACTTTTGGATACAGGAGGGAGCAGGAGGACTACTGACATAGCAATCTCTTTGGGTGACTATTCATCTCTGCTAATAACCAGGCATTGTTAGAGGGATCAGAGGATACCTCCAAACTTCCCTGCCATGCACAAATATTTACATTATTTCTTTCCTCTGTGCAAGGTGCAGTGAATTTCACTCCAGGATACTTTCTCTGCCTTAATTCCCAGTACCTGCAGAGCTTCACATGGCTCTTCTGTGTAGGCCACCTTCTCAGCAAATGACAATTGTTCCCATTGTTCATTCTCTTAGTGGTGAGGCAGTATGTGTGCATTGGATACATTTTGGTAATTTGTCTTCTATTCTCTCTTAAAAACAAATCTCTCCCCCCTGAAGAGGGGCATATGGAATTCATAGTAATTGCCCCAGTGGTATGTGAGAGTCACTTATATTCAATTGGCTAAGATTACTATTAAGATTCTTATTACATACACGTAACCTTTAAAGACTGGGAAAAATCTATCTGAAACTTCATTTCACTAGGGAGATATCATATTACAAGGGACCAAACTACTGAATGTGAGCAGTATGCTTCACTCATCCCTTTTAGTCTCTCTAATATCAAGAATGGAAGTCTGATTGGCCTTCATCTTTGATTGATGTATGGATTGATTTTGTGCCATTGAGTGATTTTCTCCAGGAAGATCTGTTCCCAACCTGGTCCTTCAAATCTTCAAATGGTGCAGGTGTACCCTTGTATCTGAGTCCATCCACCTTGCTATTGATCATCTTTTCCTTTTTCCTTCCACCTTTCCCTGCATTAGAGCCTTCTCTGGAGACTTATGCCTTCACACAATGTGTTCAAAATGTGATAATTTGAATCTGGTCCTTTGGGCCCCAAGTGAGAATTCTGTATTGATTTGTTTGAAGATCCATGTGTTCATTTTCTTAGTTGCCCAAGCTATTCTCAAAAGTTTTCCTAACACCAAAGTTCAAAAGCACCAAACACTTTTTCTATCCTGCTTTTTCAAACTCCAATTTTACTGTCAGAAAATGTTACTTTTGTATTAATATGAATGTATAATGTTATGTTCCAAACAAATGTGACTTCGCTATTGGAGCACTTTGACTATGAGAACTTCCAAACAACCCACACTTCTTCTCCAATCCCTGCAAACCATTTGGAAACTGATTGTGTGGCTGCTTTTATTCTTTGGTATACTGAGAGGTTGACGAGATCACCATGAACTATCAGTACTCCCATCAGTTCACCAACAGAAAAGGGCGAATCCTATTCATTCAGTGCTCTACTTCTTGGATGGTGAAGAATCAATGTAGAGTGACAAAGTATGCCCAACAGTCCTGCTTGAGAACATTTCATCTGCTATTTACAGAAATATTTTATACTGGTGATTTAACAGGAGTGCTATGATTCTATTAAAATTTTGGCTTCATTGGCAGGTTCAAATGTTGCAAGGATCTCCTAATGTGTGTACTATATGTGTGTCTAAAAGAAAGAGATTTAGGAATTCTAGCATGAGATTAGATAGTCCTGACATAAAGTCATCAGCTCCATTAAATATGCAAACATAAATTGAAGCATAGAACCTAATTTATACATAGATTTCTGAATACAACAGCCAATGTAAAATCTTTTATCAGAAGAAGATGGTTTCCTTTTAGCCACCTGCAGATATCCTCAGTCACTATTGGCCAACTTTCTGGCAAGACCTTTGTCATGTGAAAGTTAATCCTCATGCTTTATATAAGAGGTTTTTCCCATACCACTTTATGAAATGTTTTGGTTTCATGTTACTTTAAATAAAACACTACTCAGTGAAAGAGACTATATGTTGTTTAACATTTTATGATACTTTCAAGTTCAAATAAACAAAATGGAATAGGACAAATGATCAAATCTGAAAACATGAAATCCTCATTGTATAGAAGGATATTCTATAGAATATGTAACTTTCTCAATTGATCTTGCCCAATGGAAGATCGTAATACAATTTTTCTGCTGAAAAGGTACTGTAATTCTCTCTCCTTCCCTCCCTCCCTCCCTCCCTTCCTCCCTCCCTCCCTCCCTTCCTCCCTCCCTCCCTCTCTCCCCTTATCCACAACAGTGGTGCTTAAAAATTTGTGAACCCTTTTGAATTTTCAATATGTTTGCATACAATTATCTAAAATGTAGTGTGTTCTCCACACAAGTCCTAAAACTAGGTAAAGAAAACCTAATTAAACAAACGAGTCAAAAACACTATATTTGTTCACTTATTTATTGAGGAAAATAATATAGAATTACATATGTGCCTTTTAAACAGTGAGAACATATATGGAAAAGTATGTTGGAATGCAGCCAATATATATTTAAAAAATCTATGTTAAAAGGACTTCCTCCTAAATTCATTTTAGGAAATTATGTGGCAAATTCATTCATCTCACTGTGTTTTTCCTGTTACACAGTTTAAAGTTAAGCTGGAAAGTTGCAGCATCAGTCTTTCCTGTTTTAGATCTATTTTTTAACAGATTCATGACTAGAGGTTAGGGTTAGGGTTATGATAAGAAATAGATGATTCTGAATGATAAGATAGATAATGAATGGAAGTGCTAACAATTTAGTTGATTAAAAAAACAAGGAAAAGTAACAATCAGTTGCTAGAAAAATGTGTATATAAATGTAACTTTATCATTCAAAAATGTTTAAAATCTTTGCATTTAAAATGTTAGCCAAAAATATTAATAAAAGTGAAACCACAATGCCATTTAAAATAAGTAGAAATGAAAGAAAGAAAACAATATAAAAATTCCGAAGAGGAAAAAGAATGCTTGCTTATTGAATTTCATATCTGAATTCTTCAAAAGTTAATAATAAAAATAAAACACAAAGATGTAGTCATATACCGTAAACTGTGATATGAAAAAGATTGGGATCTTTTGTTAAATACAGAATTTATTGTTGTTGAGGTTTTGCACAGAAAAGAGAGGTTGTTTTTAAGAGAAGCTTAAAAACAATCAGTGAAGATATCTTCACTGGTTGTTTTTAAGTAAAGAAGTATAGAAGAGTATAGAAGAGTTTTTGAGTATAGAAGAGATCTAATTCATGATAAATTGTTTTTTTGTGGATCTCCCAGATATTATTGAACCAATTTAGACTATGAAGAGATTTCTTAAAATTTGACCAGGAAACTATATGAAAATGAGTTGCATTAAATAAAAGTATCCAACCCTTCCTAATAGACCTTATGCATGTATTACATCACTTTTAATCTTATAATTGTAAAAATTGCATGCAATACAATTAAAATGATAATATCACCTTAGTTATCTTACTATACTTGAGCTGGCTCTAGACAGGTGAAATAACCAATATGTGAGTTGTACATACAGAATAATATTGGCCACAACTTTAGGATTTGGAGATCATCAAAAACAATAACAAGGACCAGATCTTTCACATTTTCCAGTATAAATGGAGATGCTGTTTACTGCTGCATTGCAATTCACATGGGAGCTACCAGCTGGTGGTCACTTAGATTAATTTGAGATTGACATTACTCAACAGTAATTCTACTACATTTGAGGGAAATAATTCTAAAGTATGTACTGTATGTGAAATACGGCAGAGTTGGGTTTTCTTAGTATAGTCATATTGTTCAACAACTTCTGAACAAT